AAAAAAAAAAAAAAAAAGAGCAATAAATTTGAACAAATAAGACAATAAAACTTATTTAGTTGCAATACTTCAAAATAAAAATAAAAAGATTTCGTATTTATTATTTATACCTAATGTCTCCAATGTAATTTTAATTTTTCACGTTAATTTAATATTCGTGTCTTCTTGGCTTTACCAATTGAACCATCAAAAGTTGGAGATCCAAGGATGATTTATTATTAGTAAATATCAATTCATATTTATTATTAGTAAAGTTGCACATGCTTTAACATATTCATAATTGAGTTTCAAATAAAATAAAATAAAGGTCTAAATTCATTGATTTCCATAAGGGGGCGGCACGTCTGGTGGTGGTTGTGGTGGTGAATGCAACCTTCCAATGAGAAAGGGTCATTGCAAAATGAGTTGTGCTACAAGTATTGAAGTTTTTTTAACAAAAGAGGTGGGTGGTGTGTTTACAGAGAAGACACATCATTGGGGGTGAATTTTTTATTCTTATTTTTCAAACATGTGGGGCCCGCCAGTGTCTCTCACCGGCAGGCCCTGTGAATTGCCTCATGTACTTGATGCAATTCTCTTGCAAAATATAGTTTTGTATATTGTGCAAAATCTATAATTAATTATATGGGTAATTTTTGCACGACCAAGTCGCTAAATCTTCAAAATTCTATTGTCTCTTGTAATATTTTGAATGACTTGTGTCCAAGGGCAGACCCAACACAAAAATTCAGTTCGGACGGACGTTGCTAATTGACTGCTGATCGTAATCCGAATTGTAAATGTGATTTTGCGTGATATACCAGTCTAATAATGTTTATCGAATAACAATTTGAAGTTTAAAAATGGATCCAATTATTTACTTTCTTTGTTGGATTTGTTAATAATTTTAGTCTAACAGAAAAAAAAAAATGACTTTTAAAAGGTCGAATTTTAGTTAAAAAGTTTTAAAAATAATGAGGGAATATATTAGTTATTTGATAAAAGAACATATTGTATTTTGTTACATAAAATGTCACAAATGCCATAGTGGTCAAGTGCTTCACATGTTCGAATCCTCTAATTGTACCAAATTTATAATAACTATATGCTCCAAAATGGCGAGAGATTATAACCTAAAATAATTGCCCAAAAAATTGCTATATTTGAGAGTCGAATCCAAGACTTCAATATAATTGTAAAGTACTCAAACCAACTAAACCACGAAAGCCTTTATGAAAAAAATGGAAATCACAAATATATATTCAAAGAATAAATACATTGACAACAAATAAAATAAAATTGAATACTGGCGAATTCAACGCGAGCGGCCATCGGAGCTCGCTGGGTGCTTGATCCGCCAATGCTTGTATTTTGGTTATCTATTTTTTTCACTTACAAATCCTCAACGGTGGTGTTGTTTTCACTATTACACTTTTACACAAGTTAACGACTTATTGCAAAATAAAAACTTTGTGAATACAATTCGACACTAGTTGGTGAATAGTTACTTATTGAGAGACCTATATAATTTCAAGAATGTACTTCAGACACTGCTTTCAAGTAATTACTAGAACCCTAATAATTTATCTTTTCTACTTGCAAATATTTGACGCTATGCATTTGCTTGGATGCTAATGTTAGGCGAGTTAGTACAAAAGAAAAAGAAAAGATATTTATGCACACGTATTTAGTTGCTTGACTTTCGTGAAAGTAATGCTTCCAAATAGTGGATGGGATCACTTCTTGCCATGTGGACCTATGTGTAGGCAGTTGTGGACATAGTCGGTTCAAGCATTAAACGAGTTAGGCGGCTGCGTAAGATCTCCGATTTGCATTTATATATTTTTGCTTTTGCTTTTTCTTATGAAAAATTATCTCTACTTAATAACATTAAATTAACAATTAAAGGTTGCAAAAGATTTTATTTTAACAAATTTATTTTTAAAAAAATTTGCGACGCTATCAAATTTATGCAATTTGTGCAAAATGTTACAAATTATATAGTTGATGTGTTGAGTATGGTGAAACACATCAAAATATATTATTCGCAATCGGTACATAAATTTACGCACTAGAATGTTCGCAAAATAGAAACTTTTGTTGTTAGTTTCCGTAGCTAATAGCAACAGTTCACTAATGGAATTTTTAAATTACCAACAGCTAATAAATACCAACATTATTTATTTACTTTCAAATAATGTGTTGATCCTAAAAAATGTACCTATGATGTGGCCAATAAATCTCAATGTCTCTTACGTCCACGTAGGGATGGCAAAAAAAACCCGACAAACTCGATACCCGCGGGGCCCCGCCACGAACGGGGCGGGGAAAACCCGCTTAAACGGGTAACGGGGTCCCCGCCTCGCCCCGCCCCGTTTAAAAAAAAAATTTTTTTTTTTTAGAATTCAATACTTTAAATGAAATTTTTTATTAGTTCTAATAGAAAATAGCAATTAAAGTTATTTGTCTAAATCTAATGAATATGGGCAATAAAAATAAATTATCAAAAACTAAACAAAAAATTTTAAACGGGTAGTAAACGGGACAAGGATCCCGCCCCGCCTTAATGGGTAACGGGGCGGGGAGAGCCGCCCCACCCCGTTGCCATCCCTTTCAACCCCTTCTATTACTCATATTCCCTCGACCTTTTTTCTGAATCAACAACATTCATAGGATTTGTACTTAATAATGATTAAAAAAACAAGAACATGACAAGATAGTAATAATTTAAGGCAAACAATTTCATAAAGAATTAAAGTGGGACAAATTTTTCATAAAAGTAATGGTTTAAAATAATAAATATAGAACCTGATACAATTTTTCATTTAAATCTTATCTTTCAGATTTCAACATCAATGAAATTTCATGCAAGTTGAGTAAGCCTTATAATTGGTATGATTCGTATGAAGGGTTGTCAAAATTGACTTTG